CACTTCATCCCTGCAATCTTGTGCGTGGACATGTAACATGTGGGCTTTGATTTTCCAGTTATATGGATTCAAGTAAATAATCTTGTTTCTCTGATTTTTCAGACCCTTAATTAAATACTCTGTTTTCAGTCTCATCCTGGACAAGTGTATTGTGCTGATTCTGTACTCCAATGTTAGTGACCATGACAAAATATGTTTACAATAATGCTTCAGGGCTTAGTCAGGGTATGTGGGGCCTGGATTCACAGAGAGGCAATCTGGCAGAGTACTCATGAGAATAGGCTCAGGCTGGCATGCCTGGGTTAAATCCAGTTGTACCACTCGCTATCTCTGTGTCCTTGGGCAGGCATGTCAAATATTCTGTGGCTCAGATTTCTTCTGTCAAAATAATAATAGCAACTATTTCTTAGGGATGTTGTAAGGATGAAACTGATTATTGTAAATATATTTCTTAGGGCACTGCCACATATTTATTCAGCACTGGCTATTATATTTTCTTATTGCAATATTAATTTTTATATTCTCAGTTTTTATTCTCAAAGCCCATTCCCTCTCATAAGTCCTCATAGAAAAACATGTCTAACATGTCTCCTATTCCCACTATAGTTCAATGTGTAGCTTTCAATTTCATGTATTACAGTTATTTGTTAAAAGTGGTCAAATTCAATTTAAACTACAGTGTGCTCATGTGGTAGGTAAATGTTCAATTGCAGGGCCAATCAATATTATCAATACATTTTGGTAGATGCCCAATTATGTTACTATAAATAATTTCAGGCACACAGTAAAAACTCAGTATATAAAATTTACTCTATAACGATTAATGATTCTTCTCTCACTTGACTGTCTGTGTACGCATGCTTCCTTAGGAAAAATCAAATAAATATGCACCAAAGTGAGAAATGAGTTGTATTAAATTTATACTGAAATACATAGTCATCTTTGTAATTCAAGAACTTTTCATAAACTGTTTTATAAAATGCATCAACAGAAGTAAAAATTAAAAAGGATTCTTCTGTATTTATCGCCTATGATAGATCAGGTGTAGGAAAGTATTCATCAAAGTAAAAGTACCAGTGGGAACAAAAGCCAACCTTTCAAGAAATGATCTGTCTATAGTGTTTGATCCAGTATCTATACACATAAAACCAGCTGCAAGATAAGCAAAACAATTCAAAGCAGTTGCTACAACTTCAAATGAAATTGGTTGCTTCCAATAAGACTTCCTTTTATAAATAGAAAAAGATTACTGTGAGGCAATAAGTTCATATTCCTTTAAATTAGTGCCTAAACGTAATGTAGGTAGCTTGCCAAGCACTCCTTGGTGAAATATTGGCTAAGTGGTGTTTAGAAAGTCTGGCAGAGTGGGTAGTGATTATGGGTGATAGATACTGTCAAGAACTTAAGACAATAAGGAACTCATGGGGTCAGAGTTCTTTTCTAGGAAGAATACCTCTTTCAAAGAGTTTTCTGTCTAAAACACTACAGAATGCTCAAATACAGATTTAAAAATAAGGAATACTGCCTTTGAGACTCTGAAGAAAGAGGATAAAGGAGCATTAAAATTAAAATAATCACTTTTTATACTCTAGAATATTCTCTTACTTACCACCATACCATCACTTAAATTGCTTACTCCTAATAATCTTTTACATCTCAGATTGGCTTCTGATCAGTTAAGCCTGAATTATGTTCACCTATATGACCCTCAGTTTAGTTCTTCAACATAGTTTGTATCAGATTGTTCACAATTATCTGATTATTATTTGCTTTTTTTTCATTTGATTCTAAATTACATAGCCAGAAACTATGTCATTTTTATTGTTATACTCCTAGCAAGAAAGGAACAGTCAAGAAGACCATGACCTTGTCGTGGTCCAGGTTTTTTTTTCCTCCTTTAAATTGTCAAAGAAAGGTATGCAGTGTAGACCAAAATATATATTCTTGGCTAACAGAAACTTTGGCAACACATGTAAATTTAAGAAATCTAGTAAATTAGTTTTTGGCTCTTACAACAAACATATGTCTCAAAATTTACTACACCAATGTGCCAAAAATTTTATTTGCCCGTATCAGAAAATACAGAGCCAGAGGGAAAAAGAACAGTCTTCTTTGATACACTGGTCAAGCTTGCCAAGTCATCTGGTTAAGCCACGGCTGTTGGACCGTGTAACATTAGGCAGAGAATTGAGATTTGCTAGGGATCCCTATAGCTGTTGTTTTTCATGAAGGAAGAAAGTATGTATGTGACCATAAAGTGCACTAACTTTATTCTGTTTTGAATTCTAGTAATATCCTCACTTAGTAATGCCCTAAGTATTTCCATTTTCCCCTCCAAATCTTCTCTCCACCCTTCTGACCTCTACACTGTGTCACAGAAAACAGATGTATGGCTTAGATCAATGGCCCCCTTGCCATCTGGTCTCTGCTTAGGGTGTGCCAGTGGAGATGACTAGCAGAAGAGAATAGGGAGGAAGGGAAATCACGCCACTGGATTATTTGTTCCATAGGTTCCCTCCAGCAGTGTTGTCACAACTGCCTGTGTCTGTCCTTTAACTGATGAAGGCCACACTTCCTGTCAGATTTTTTTTTGCACACAGTAATTCTTTTTCTCTTTCTTTCTTTCTTTCTTTCTTTCTTTCTTTCTTTCTTTCTTTCTTTCTTTCTTTCTTTCTTTCTTTCTTTCTTTCTTTCTTTCTTTCTTTCTNTCTTTCTTTCTTTCTTTCTTTCTTTCTTTCTTTCTTTTGAGATGGAGTCTCGCTGGCCTATTTAGAATGCAGTGCTGCAGTGGTGCAATCTTGGCTCACTGCAACGTCCACCTTTGGGGCTCAAGCAATTCTCCTGACTCAGTCTCCAGAGTAGCTGGGACCAGAGGTGTGTACCACCATGCCCCTGGCTAATTTTTGTTTTTTCGTATTTTGCATTTTTGCAGAAGCAAAGCTTCACCATGTGGACCACATAGCAATTTTATAGCTTTTTACAACGATTCCCACTTCTTGGTCCTTTATCTTTACATCCTCCTTTGGTATATATTTTTTAAAAAACTACTCTTTATGACTATTTTAAATATAAATTTAAATATTGAAATCTACACACTGAAATGCAGAAGGAAAGCACATGAGTAATGTACAAAGTGAATTAAATATTTATTCTGAAGAAATTATTCATAAAGCGTTGCTTGGGTTTTAGTGCTGCAAAAAATATTGTTAAAAGCAGGATTTCATATTGACACAAGCAATTTTAATGGGAAAACATACCTTATGCTGCCTCAAGAGGGAAAACATTAAAATTACTTTAATATTTGCTTTTCTTACTTTTATTTTACTTAAAGCATCTTGTTTCAATTTTAGTGGTGACAACAACCTCTCTAGATTAACCTACTATATCTACTTCAAACAGTATTAAACTAATTATGAAGAGGCATGTATTTTCATTAATGAAACATTTATAATAATTTTCATAGATTTTAAAAAAGAGGGCATAGCTTTGATTAATGTCTCTTTGAGAGAAGTTAAGAGGATGAAGTACAGTGGAGAACAACTAATTGCATTACTTCACATCTTCAATGAAGATATTTTACTTTTAAAATTAAAAATATATTAAAAATGTACTTTAAATATGTGGCACTTTTTAATTAGAACCGTAAAATTTTTCTAAAACAATAGTTGGCAAGGTTTTTCTCTGCAAAGTGCCGAGTAAATATTTAGACTTTATGCGACATTTAATTTCTGTTGAAACTACTCAGCTCTGTTGCTATAGCAAAAAAAGCAGCCATAGACAACAGCAAATGAACAGAATGATTGCGTCCCAAGTCACTGTGATGGCCATAGTTTGCCAACAGCTTTCTTAAAAAGTGAGTTCTCTATATTTTGATTGAATATCAGGAGTAATTTTTAAAAACATATCTAGTATATGTTTAAAATATTTCACCTGAAATGAAGTCCACTTTGGAAATAAGGGATGGAAAGAGAATGCTATTATACAATTACTAAATAATGTAGATTTTTTGTGCTTTAAACAAATGGAGTGGGTTGTTTTTCAGTTCTTCACTTCTCTTCTGTGAAGGAAAGAAGTTCTAGTGTTGGAATAAGTGCAGTCACTACCACCAGAGTCTTTCCACCTAAATGAAAGAGAAGGTCTTTACAGTTATAGGCACCTAAATTTAATTTTAGGTTGCAGGTATATGAGCTTGCAGAATATATCTACTATACTGAGCCTTGGTATTTTCACCTGTTAAATACAGTTCTCTGCTTTGAAAACTAAGTTATTAATATATAATGTATTTATAGTCCCAGACACATCTCAGGTACTCTGGAAACAGCAGTCATCCCCTGCCTTCTTCACCTTTATGAAAATAGCATATCTGTTATTTTGGACCTGAGAGAAGAATCACAAAATTTTTAAAAAATATTGTACTGTGGTAGCAGGGAAGGGAGAACTAAGAGGATGAAGCAGAAAATACCTTATCTCCTGATTTTCTGACTTTTAATTTTCTTCAGTAACTGTTCCTTCATGTGGAATAGAATTTTCTATAACATGGGGTAGCTGGAGTGGTCTAGGTATTAATCCTAACTAATATATATTGCTCTCACTGGCACACCTACTGAAGAATATCTGGTTGTTTAAATCGGGGTAAAATCGCAAATTGTTAGAATAATCCAGACATTCATAGACCAGTGAAAATCATGCATAAGCTTCAATTATGTTTACCTAACCTTTTCAAGTTAAATTACTTTTCAAAAGTCTCAATCAAGGAGAAAGTTTTTAAGGTACTTAATTGAAAAAAAAATGTGAAATTACATAGGTAATTTAAGAAACTGTGTCAAGAAAGACACAGTTTAAGAGAATGTAAATATTTATTTTATAACAAGTTACTGGGTTTATTTTTGTACTAAGGATCATGAGAGTAAACAACACTTTGAAAAATTGAGATACTTTGCCACAAACTTACAAATATTCCTCAAAACAATGAGGCAGTAGCAGAATAACAGAAGCCATTATAATCACAAGCCATAAAACTTTATTATAGGAAATGACTATATACACTCAATGGTTGCAAATAAGTGTTATTACAATGAAGGATTGAAAACCAAACTATTTCCATTTAGGTAAATAATGTCTTAAAAGTCCACTAATTAGCCCTTTTTGCTTAAATGCATTTCAGTTACCACAGCTTTTACCATCAGACACTCAAAGGGTCCAAGTATGTTTCAGCTTCCAGCAATAACAGTTATTTTATTTATTCTGACAGAAATATTTCAGAAATTGTTTGAGGATCAGAAATTAGCTTTCTCGATTTTTCTCTTCACACAGTAGACTATTTCTACCCAAAATTGTCATTTCTTATGCTCTTTGTTCAAATATATATATGTATATAATATTTTCCAGGGAGAAAACTGGAAAAGTTTATTTGAATAGAAAACCCGTTTAGTGAGGAACATTAAAAAAAATAAGAACCTGGACAGATCACTTTATGATTTACATTTCAGATTATTTTTTCTTCATCCTTTATGTGTGAAAAATAAATCAATAAAAAAATAAGCATTTGATAAAAATGGAACAGGAAACAAGATTGCATAACATCTAGAATTTTCTTGTAGTGTCTTTGTGCCCATCTACATGCAAACAAGTATCTATTACAGGATCCCTTCCACCCAACACACCATGTGTCTCAGTAATGTTGTCTGTTGGTCAAAGCTTAATGTCTTTCTTTCTATTTGGGGCTATCTTTCCCTCTCTCCACTGAAGACTTCTGTCATAAGAGTACTGATTTCATCCTCATATTATCCACCATAAACCTATATTATTAACTGGCTTGTTATACTCCAAACCATCACACACCAACAAGAAGAAACTTCTGCAGAAATTTTAATAATGTCTCTTTTGTACTAAGGAACTCTGTGAACTCTTTATGACTTCGTAATTTTACCTAGCCTCCTGATATCCACATTCATGCTTCTCAGTTTATTGGTCTAACCTAACTTTTCATTGTCTCTATATGAATCTTTCAAAGAAATTGGAATTCTAATTTGTGCTCATGCTTCTGTTTCTTTTCTCAAGCTGTTTACCCAATTGGAAATTGTGATCTCCGTCCTTCTCACCTATTGCATCCCCAAGCTTCCATCCCTAAACACATATCCTCCACAAAACCTTCCTAGAGATATCCTCCCTCCCTTAAATTGTATAACTAATCTCATCTCTCTGACTACATTATATTTTCCTTGAAATTTCATCTTTATATTTCCTTTTGTATTTAGAACAGTACTTTGTACATAGAAAGTGCTGCATAAATATTTGAATAAGGTTACCTCACTTCCAAAATGCAAACACAAAAAGTCAGAACTGATCTTAAATCAACTAGAGCAAAATGGTTAATAATGTTTGAAAACACCATTTGGAAAGTCCTTTACAAATACTTGGTAATGGCTTTTGTAACTGTATAGAAGCCTGGCAAGACCTCCCTAGCAGTAAAAAGCAATAAAGAATGGCCAACAGAAATGGAATATCAAGTATGTGTTGCTGTCATATGGTATAGCACTGAGAAGCTGAATAAATTTGATGATATAAAGAAAACTAGGTAAGTCAGAAATAAATGTTTCTAGTGAGACAAGCAGTAAAACATTAAGTGTCTACTGGATAACTTCATTCCCAATGCTAAGACCAGTGAAATAATTTCCAATGTAGTATCTTGTTACAGGAAATTTTGCTAGAGTAAAAATAGGCACTGGTATAGCTTTGAAAATTTTATTTATGTATCTATTCATCTGTTATACATTTACTTCAATACCAGTTATTTATTTTAATCTACTAAAATCATCTTATCTAAAGCTCATCTCTTGGAAAATCAAAGCGTTTTGTGAATTTTTCACAACACTTTGACCTGGAATACAATTTCACATTTATAATTATGGGGCCCTTGGTGTGAAAGAACTGTCAGCCATTCTTTTGATGCTGAATTGGCATGAATATAGACTTCAATTTTATTATTGTTCTTGAGACAAAAACAGTCTATTTTATGGTGATATATTAATGCCAGAATATGGAACCACAAATAAAAAAATAATCCTTATGATTGCCTTCATATTTATACACATCTACTGCGCTTTAATTTGAAGTTGATCAATTTTTAAAACTTACTAATGAAATCTCTCTTCAGCTTAAAATAAAATGCCTCCAATGAATTGCTAATTCCTACATATATCAAAACTTTAGTTAGACTTACTGGGACATTTTTCCCTATCTCTACTAAATTCTCAAGTAATCTATGTATTTTTTACATTTTTTCCATGAACTTACTTGGCTTTACAAAAAATAATTTCAAGTGAGCCTAATTTTGTCCACGGAATTCAAAGATAAATAAAATAAAATATGACCCTGTCATTGTAGATCTAAGAGAAAAAAATTATGCCAAACACATTTTCACCTCTCAGAATTTCTAGATCCTGGTAACATCTTCAGAGAATAGGTCTACATAAACAAACATTTTTACAAGTGATCCTATCTCCTGTGCTCCAGTTATGCTTCTCAATTCTTTATATCCACTTTTAGGGTCTATGTTAGTGTTAAAATCATTTAAAGCATCCAGGAAATTCAAGTTCCCATTAATTCAATAAATTATGGTATAACTTCCCAGAAAAAGGGGAAGATTTTTTAAAAATTATTTCTCAAGATGATGAAACTTATACTGGGAATAGAGTAACAGGAAATGGACTAAATCAGCTTTGAAAAAAAGCTGTATTTGATTTCTTGAAAAAGTAGTCTAAATGCATTTTTACCTTTTTATTCTTATTTTTAGAAATAAGATTTGTACACCATTCTTTCTGATTGCACATTTACATACAACTGTTCAAAGTACCACTTGCTCTGAAAAGAAAGTGATTGCTTGATGGTATATACAAGGAAAGACATCTTTCATATATTTATAAATTTTATTTCCACTTGTAAATATTGTCAACATTTAAAGCCAAGTTAATGAAACACCAATGAGAAAAGCAAAGCTATTTGTTTTTTCTTTTACATAGAACTGTGTTTCAGAAGGAATGCTATTTATATCAAGCACTTTTAAGTATTTTAAAATATAGTCATGCTCAGATACACTTGAAAGAGTCCCAAAATCAAAACTGTCTCATGATAATGAGTAAGCTACAGTTTAAAACATGAAAATAGCCATACAATATTTTAGTGAATTATTTTATTTTTTATGAGTACTTTTTTATTTATCCTTAAATGAATGCGTAACTTTAAAAACATCCATCAGAACTCAATGTTATTTCAATGAATGTATGAATAATGTGTAAATGAATATATAGATGACCGAAGTTAAATTTGGCTATTCATTCAAGAAAAAAGCAGTGTCAGTGGATATTGGGCATTATCATTTGATTCATGCTTATTTTTTCAGAAGTTTATAAGCAAGTGAAAAAAATCAGAGTTAGCAGGGAACACAAAGTAAACAATAAATTAATTAATTAAAAATAAAGAAAACCTATATATTTCTAATACATATGTATAACCATGCCAGAGATTCACTAGCCATATGGCAAAATTATAACATTTAAAACTAGAGTGTCAATTGCACAGGTGACAGTTTACCTGCCCCCTCCAAACCTTAAGTCAGTTAGGCCGTGATCATAAAACTCTACATCATGATCACTGGTCTTGGCAACAGAAACAATTTTTAAAGGTTATTTCCAAGCTAATCTGGGTAGTTCCCCAGAAATTTATGTGATGAATCTCATAAACAATTGATATGTCAAACTACTTACAAGATTATAACCATCGAAGCCTAAATTTAAATCTCTTCTTAACAAAAGAGACATTTTGAAAACTATTAACTGATAGATTTTACATCCTGTGAGACTCTAAGAATTTAGAGGGCTCTCACACTTATGTTCATTAAAGATGCCTCAACAAAACTCCCTCTTTAACATGATTTTGAGGCTTCCCTAATTTTCTAGTAAAAAAGAATATTATAACAATATATAATGTGTTTTGAAACTGACAGTGTTCAGAACTTTGGAGCCAGAAGAGGCAATATGTAATGCAGGTCTGTAACTGTTCTCTGAATATTACTAGTCTAAAAACAATGCTAAGAGCACATATTTAAGATTCTGTCCTCAATACGACCTGCAACTCAGTTTGCCAGGTAATAATTTTTCACGACATGAGTAAATAAAAGCACTGTTTCTCAATATTTTGTTATTTTAGGGTCTGTAACACATTCATAAAACAAAGAAAAATAATAATTTCTCTCTGCATTTAATTTGCATTGGTAGATTTTAATATTTCAATGTTAACTTCATCATACATTATTAATGCTATGAAGCAGAGAATAAAATGGTTAGATTTTGTCTGATTTTTTATCTTGCAGTCTTAAAAAATGACTTTGGTGGCTTCCTTCCAAGTTTGCAAATTACCTAAGTAAATGTAACTGGAGTTCTGTTTAATATTGCATTAGAAAATGGACTGGATTAAAAGACAGGTAAAAATTGACCTCTTTATAGGTCTTCTGTAATTGATAAGTTAAAAATAAATCAGTTTCTTCTTGGGAATACAGTATCTTGGAAATGGATCCAAGAAAACTATGGCTTTATGTTAAGTAACTGTATTTCAAGCAGGACCTACAAACAAAAAGCAAGAAAAAAAAATTAAAATATTTTTTGGCAAAAAGTTTCTACATAAATATTAGTCTTTAGTCTCAAATTACAAAAAATATAGATTATATTTAAACAAAATGTGTATTAAAATCAATCCAAGTTTAAAACATGAATCAGAGAACTTAAAAATTCAAAATTATGCTAACATATAAGTAAATTAAAGAAAATTTAAGTAAAAATATGTGAGTATTTTAACCCACTGGATTTTGCAACTAATCAGTTTTTAAAAGCTGCTATGTTATTTACTTTTGCAGGCCTTAAAATAGTTACAATACTACTCGTATTTTAACCATTGGTTTCTCTGCATTTTAAATTTAAACTTCAAGTTACTGAAGTGCAAAAGATTCTACTGAATTTAGTCAGACTTCTTTTGATTTTTGCTCATGGTAGATTTTATAAGTAAAGATAGCCAACCCAATAAACCAAGTTGAACAGGGCAAAAGCTGTTGGGAAAAATATTCTCGAATAAGAGTCAATTTTGGCAATGCGTATATGTATCCTTCCTTCCCTCCAAGATCCTGTTCTGCAGTCTTCAAAGCAACAGAAGAAGCTGGCACAATCTTTTCCCTCCAAACACTGGTATCCATAATCATCATCTTGCGGCACAGAAACATTATTCATTGGAATCAGAGTAGATCCAGGGTGGAGACCAGGAGACATCTGAGAAAAATAATAAATGAATTTTTGACACTAAAAAAGGAGCATAGGAGAGATAAATTTTCTCCCTTAAGGCAAATTCTAGGAGACTGATATGTAATGAAAATAATCTTGATTTCAAAAAATCAGTATTTTCAACTGGAACATATTTTTATATTATAATTTACTTTGCAACAGAACATGAGTTAAATTATATTACGCAGAAATGAAATAGCCCGGAAAAATAAAATATATTTTACACTTTTAGAGAGTTAACCTACCAAATTATTATTTATCACAAATCTAATAACATAAAAATGAACTGTATATTCTATGATATTTTACACTAAAACATTAACAGTGCTACATGTCTTTTTTTTTTTGCTGTTATATGTTATTTACTTTAATAAAAATGAGATAAATAGCAAATAAGACATTTTGATAATGCAAAACGTTTGACAAGCTGTGAATGAACAAAAAAAAATTATTGGCGATGTGAAGCACAAGGTATCACTTTTGGGAAAGAGGATGTGCAGGAATTAAAAACTCAGAATTGGGAACAACTGGTGTTCAAATTCTACTCATTCTACCAATGTAGCTGTCTTCATAGCTGGAATTATATTAGCACCTAATTTCTGTGACAGCTATGATAAGTGTATTTCACAGCTGATGTAAAAGTATCAATGCTCCATCATGCTCAGTAATAATAGCTACTATTATTAGCAGTTTTATTTGGAACATGTTAAATTAACTTTCTATAATACTTGATTTTGAATAATACTTAAATAATTAAAAAGTGAAAGTATTATACATTTGACAAAGTTAGAATAATATAGAACATTAAAGCAAGCACCGACATCAAACTTGTGCCTAATTTCTAGCTTTGCCCAGTAAAGTTGTATAAATGTAAACTGGAAATACGACTGTTCATTTGTTACTATGTTTTCTTCTGTACAAAAATGGTGATAAAAATACTGTAGATTTGTTTTATTATTAAATGGGTTGATGGACATAAAACATGAAGCAAAATGTTTGAAACATAGCAAGTAATCACCTGCCAGTAGGTAACACCACTATTGTTGTAATTGCTACTGTTTATTCCTGATGAGGCTATATCACAGTTGATCATAAAATTCATGCTAAGATAAAAATACTAACAATAACAATAGAAACAACGACAAAGTCTTAGACCACAGAAAAATGTTACTGTGACATTAATAAATTAATGACTACTTTAATAAACTCACAAGTAAAATATAAAGATTTCTTTCAGTTTTCGTAATTCTTCATTTTTCAGGACTCCACATATCTTGAGGATTATCTTAAGATGGAAATCTTACAACTTTTTGTAATGAGCAATTTACTATCTAAACACTAAATATAGTACCAAATTTATAAAAATGTTTTTTTAATTTCTATTTTTAAAATTTTTTAATTTTTATTTATTTTATTGCATTTTCAGTTTTGGGGTACCTGTGAAGAACATGCAAGATTGTTGCATAGGTACACACGTGGCAGTGTGATTTGCTGCCTTCCTCCCCATCACCCACATCTGGCATCTCACCCCTTGCTATCTCTCCCCAAATTTAAACCAGATCTTACAGCCTTTCTAATGCAAATGTTTGATAAATGTTGTCATTCTAAATTTTGAAATAGATCAACAAAATTAAATATTTTATAAAAAACATTTTTACAATTATAAACTAAAGTTTAAAATATCTTGCAACTTTAACCTATGCTCATATCCATTTCGTTTCTAAAGGGAAACATAAAATCTAAGTCACCAAATATTAAACTTCAGTAGATGCAAAAATAATCAAATATTCACATTTAGTAATATTTTTAAAAGATTAAAATATCATGCAGGTCACAATATTCCTATTAGAGACAAAATGTGCACCTTGAAGATAAGGAGAAATGCTATAAACACAAATAAGTTCATGATTAAACTTGCTTAGCTATGTCATAAAAAGCAGAGGCAGTATCTTATTAAATGTTAATGACAGATCTTTTGAGGATGGAGCTTGGGGATAGTTGACTACATTCCTAAATTTTTATGGAGCACTAAAAACATGTAAAAAAAAAAAAGGGGGGGAGAGAGAGAGAGAGAGAGAGAGAGAGAGAGAGAGAGAGAGAGACAAATTGGTATTCGTTTCCTTGTCACTTGACACTTGAATAGCATATGCTCAGATGCTAATCAGAATGAAAATTAATGTTTAAAAATTGTTAGCAGGCAATTTGAAGATTATGTAGTAGAAAACACATTCCATATATGAAGCAGCATTATCATAAGTGGAAATACGGTGTGTTTTTCAGAGGATATTACTTGTTCATGAGATAAATGATTAAATTTTTAGTGCACTAAAATGAAGAAAAACTGCAAGGTGGTTTACTTAAAAAAATGGACTAATTTCTGGTGAACAGTATCATGGAGAGTTTCTGTTGCAAAGACATTTTAAATTTGCAATTTTCTGGATTTTTCTGCTCCTACTCCCATCCTTTCCAAACTCAAGTTCATGAACTGGAAGAAACTACACTTCAATGAATGATGAAAGTAAACAGAAATGGACTTTCTACATGTTGAGAAAAATAGCCAAAAAACTAACACAATACCAATAAAATAAAATGATGATAAAATCCAGATTTCTGACCTGGAAACCTCTGAGAAATTAATCAGAAAAATATATACAGTCCAAGTCTTATATATCTGAAGTTCAACTATTCTACCCATCTTAATGTCTCAAGTATAGACCCTGTTTCCCCTCAAAAAAGCAAACATTAAAAAACAATACATCAGTTAAAGCAATTTAAAAAGAAACAACATAATTGAATAGAATATACTACTTTAAATGAAATAATTTTTAAAATATACATTTTTAAAATTTTAAAAATTATTAAGAATATAGCTGAGCTTACTATTTTGAGAAATTCATCCCATTTTCACTATTAAGAATATAGCTTTGTCTAGTTAAACATTAGTAAAATATATTTAAGCACCAAGTTATACTAATATCAAATAAATATTAAGTGATAAATCAGCATTTACAGATAAGTGTTATTTATATCATCTGCTAATATCTTTAAAATTATTAAATATTAATAATATGAATAGCAAATACTGTTTGATGATTATATTTTAAAATACTGACTATATACTATTATTAATTTCCCATATAAAATGTTGCACCTGAAAATGCTAAGCTAAGCACTCTTTACCCCTCCTTCACAAAATACTGTTTAAATTGGGGTGTTCCAAATTAGAGATTATCCCATCAGCATTAAAAAATCAACAGGAGGGGAGGGGGATCCAAGATGGCCATTTAGGAACAGCTCATGATTGCAGCTCCCAGTGAAAGTGCATAGGGTGAGTGGACGCCACATTTTTATTGCCCACGGACTAGGAAATTCCCAGGCAGAGGTGCTCCATGGTCGCCAGTGCGGCTGTTTCGGCCAGCACGGCTGTGCCAGCCGGCACCGCTGCTTTGCCCCGCGCAGCTTCTTTGTCGGCGCCCTGGAGCAGCGGTTCTCTGGTTCTCCGGATCTCCGTACAAAATACACCGGTCCGGGTGCCCTTTTGGCTGGCGATTGGAGCCACGGGAAGTCGCCCATTCGTCTGTTTAAAAAGGGAAAAAAAAAAAAAAAAAAGAAAAAGACACCAAGGAAAAAAAAAAAAAAAAAAAAAAAAGCACCACAAACCTCAGTGCCGCTGTTTAAGCAAGCACAGTGAGTGGCAGCAGGGGAAAACAAACAGACCCCGGTGCCTCTTCAACAGGTGACTGGGACACAAACTTAAAAAAGGAGCTGAGGCAGGGAGCCAGGCGATCAGGCTTGGCTGGTCCCACCCCCACAAAAGAACAGCAACCAGAAACTCTGGATTGAGACTTTCACAGAAAGCGCAGCTGAACTGGGGACGGTCCAGCTCTGCGGGGGAGGGGCGTCCGCCATTACCGAGGCAGCCCGCCAGGACGGAGGTAGTCGGCCAATGCTGAGGCAGCCCACCGTTGCCAAGGCAACCCGCCATTGCTAAGGCAGCCCGCCGTTGCCAAGGCAACCTGCCACAGCAGAGAGACTCCTCCAGAGGTGGGCCACCATTGCCAAAGCGGTTCTAACTACACCCATATAAACAGGACTGCAGGGAAGTTCACTCGGCAGCAGGGCGGATCCCATAGCAGCTCAGCAAAGCCTCTATAGGTCGACAGTGACTAGGCTGCCTCCTTGCTGGGCAGGGCAGGTCTAAAGGAAAAAAAAAGAGAAGGCGGCAGCATAACGGAAACTCATAAATAAAGCCCTAAATCCCTGGGACAGAGCACCTGGAAACAAAAAGCAGTTTATGAGTTCTGCTGCAGCAGACCTAAATGTACCTGCCCAGCAGCTCTGAATGAATAACAGAGCTCACAGCTCACCATTTGAGCTCCTATAAAGAAGAGACCGTCTCCTCAAGCAGCTTCCTGACCCCTATATATCCAAAGAGACACCTCATAAAGGAGAGATCAGGTTGACACTAGGCGGGTATCCTTCTGGGACAAAGATAGCAGAAGAAAACTGGTAACAACGCTTACTGTTCAGCAGCTGCTGCAGGTGA